TTCTCAAATTAATCAATTGAGTCTTATATTAAGGATTGGTAATACTTTAAATACTTATATTTATTATTTTGTTTAAACTAATATGTCTAATTTATAAATTGATATATAATTTTATCATACATATATGTATTTCAAAAAAAATCATATAACATATGTCATAATTATATTACTACCTTCGGTCCTTAATATAAGATATTGTTTGACTTTTATTTTGGTCCTAAATATAAGAGTCCAATCCACTTTGTCTCTTATGTGTATGTATTTTTTCCAAGATAGTCTTCCTAACAATAATAGTTATAACTAATATACTTAATTAGCAAGGATATTTTAGGAAAGACAACATATATTTATTATAAATAACTAACTTAACTTCTTTTCTTAATCTTCTTAAATTAGTCAACTAGCTCTTATAATTAGTACCAGAGGTAGTATTATTTAGCTTTTTTAATTTTTTTTTAAATTAATCAACTCTCCTATAAGAGGTGGTAATAATAAACAATGTGTGGGCAGGGGTTCGTGGAAATTGCCTTTTGCCTTTGGGGCCAAAAAAAAAAAAAGAAATTTCCTTTTCCCAAAAGAAAAAAGAAATTACCTTTTGCTTTTTTCCCCAAAAAAAAAGAAATTGCCTTTTCCTTTTTTGCCCAAAAAACAAAGAAATTGCCTAAAAAAAAGAGAAGAAGTTGCCTTTTGCTATTCAAGGACCAACTTGCCAGCTTATATGACGTGTCAATCTTCTATTGTTGGTGACAGGTCCTCCGACTCTCTTCTCCCCCTCAACTCTTGAGCTACAAGAAAAATCTTAGTACTCTTTCGGCTCTAAATATACAATCTTTATACATACTAATACAAGGATTTTATATTTAGAACCGGAGGAGTATCATTTTTTATATTCACTATTTTTAAGAACATTTGCTTATTATATTATTGGGAATTAATGTCAGGTTTTAAAAAAAAGATTTAATCACTCAAAAATCTGTTGATAGATGAAAATTATGCAATAACAACATATGTATGAAAAATAACAATTAATTCATATTACTCACTTGTTATCAAGATTTTTTAGTAATTAAATTTTTATTTTGTCACATACACATTCTCCGTTTATTGTTTTCTTGGGATGTTTTGTTGATTTTCCCTTTATACTTTCCCATCTTGGAATCCTCTCTTCCTAAGTCAAGTCAACATGACAATATGACATAATTGCCTTTGGTCCCTTCTATGTTAAGAATCTTATCCCTCCTAACTTTTTTTCAGAAAAGGAGAATTTCCATTCAAAAATGAAAAATATGTGAAAAAAAAGCCTATTAATTACGTCAAAGAAAATTATGAACAAGGTGGAAACGTTAAAATGTGTTCAAAGTGTTTACAGCCTGTTTAGCGTCATCAGATAGTCTATCGATTCCTCCTATTCTCTTTATTTTATAACTGACACTATTAGGACATTATAAAAAATGAAAAATCATAAAAATTATTTATTATAATTTTTTAATATTGCTTATTTTTTAATTTTTTTCAATTTAATTACTTTTTCATTAAAACATGTGTTTTAATAAGAATAAAATTTATAAATTTTATTTTTAAACATGGTTAATGAGTTAATAGTATCTTCTTGTTTCTCTTGAGGAGGTTAAAAGTACCTTATAACAAATATTGAATATTAAATATCAGTCCTTTCAATTTCTTCTTACAAAGTATGACACCCAAAAAAAAATTTACAAATTGGGATGATTTATTTGCTTTCAACGACAAATTAACCTAAACATAAATATTATATAAAATTTAACTCGATAGTCGATGACGATAATGATTTCGTTCAATTGTGTAAAAAATTTTCTCATTCCAAATAATTATCGTTTTTTTTGGGCCAAAATTCCGAATAATTATGTAGGGAGCCAGAGTTCCAACTTGACTCATGAAACATTAATAATTTGGCTAGTGGCCAAATTTCCAGATTCTATCCATGTTATGTCCTTTTTATTATTTAAAAATAGTACTGTCGACCACGTCAATTGTACGAACCACCGACTTTCTCTACTTATTTATCCCCTCTTCTTTATCTAATAAATCTTTAATTTCTGCTCCCCACTTTTATTTTCTTCCCCAACTTTTCTTTGATTTAAGGGGTATTTGGATAAAAATCAAACTATGATTTTAAAAGTGTTTTTATGGTTTACGAAATAAATATGTGAAGGAATTTGTCTCATTTTGAGAAAAAGTGTTTTTGAAACCATAGTTTGAAGATTGCCAAACACCCCCTTAATAGTGCCTTTGGATTAAGTAAAAGCAACCTGGTATATTTAAAATCCGTCAAGACCAAGAAAATAATACTCTTCTGGTCTTTAATATAGGACTCAATTATTGAATTGGTTTTCATCATAAATATAAAACCCATTTATTATATTTATCAATTTTTTCTAAATTATCCCTATGGATACTCTTTTAACCATAATCAAGTAGAAGAGAAAAATAGAGTATGAAGAAAGATGATTATGATATTTTAGAAAAAATGTGTTATATTTTTTATAATTAACTAATTCACCTAACTTTTTTAGTCTAAGCAAATTAACTAAATGAGTCTTGTATTGATGTGTAGAACCAATCGACGTTAAGCGCCGTATGAAGCATCAATTTTCTATACGAATCTTGACTTTACTAGTTCAATTTTCCACTAATGTTAAAAATTATAATTCTTTTTGTTTTTTTTTTGACTCATTTGCCTCAGCATTTGGAACCAGATGTTACAAAAATTATCAAGATGAATCCATTTTTTACACAACATAAACAGAAGAACCAGCCCCCACCAGCCTCCTACTATTATTATGCAGTACCAGAATCAAATAATCAACTGATTTTGGAGAAATAAAAACACATTTATATATGAACTGATGATATTATATAGATCATCAAACAAGAAACATACATAAGCAGAGAAGATGTTAGATCAACTAACCAGATCATGATTCCATATTTCCCAACCAGACATATATAAAACCCATATCAACAACCAAAGAAACCTCAAAACAAGACAACCTAGCATGCATATATTTGAGAACTTTAACACTACAAAAAAACACTGATTTACTGACGGAATTACCCACGGAATTATCGACGGAAACCAAAATTAACGACGGAATTGCAACGGAAAAGAATACCGACGGAATTTTCGACGGAATGCATTCCGTCAGAAATTTTTCTGTCACTAAATCGATTTGCGACGGAATGGCAAATTCCGTCAGTAATTTCTGACGGAATGGCAAATTCCGTCAGTATTTCTGACGGAATTTCTGACGGAATTTCCGTTGGAAATTACTGACGGAATTTTCCGTGGCTGATCAGCCACGGAATTAGCCACGGAATTTTCCGTGGCTAATCAGCCACGGATTTAGCCACGGAAATTCCGTGGCTAATCAGCCACGGAATTTCAGACGGAATTTTTCGTGGCTCATCAGCCACGGAATTAGCAACGGAACATTCCGTGGCTGATTAGCCACCGAAAATTCCGTGGCTAATCAGCTAAGATTTGCTCGCGGAATTACCTATCAATTTTTTTTTTCATTTTGTGTTATTTTTGTTTTTATTTTGTGCTATTTTAATTTGATCAATCATTTTTTTTATTTTTAAGAGGGAACGAAAGATAATTGAATTTGTTAAAAAATCAAACATGCTATTAAAAGATATATATATATATATATATATATATAGTCTTTCCCACATCCAAATGCTTCAAGTGTCAAGTGTGAAATAAAAGATAAAATTATAATAACAACTATCAACTATCATTTCCTAAATTTATATTGCTGCTAGAGGGCTCAGATAGTTTAATTCCCATTCCTTCCAATGCAGACATGATTTTGTTATAATTTTCTCTCATCTTTTGATGCTCCTGTTTGATTTGCTGATTCTCCTGTGTAAGCTCCGTTATCCTCATGCGCAATTCAGTTTCAACATTGGCATTCATACTTGTACTATTAATGGAAGGAGAAGATCCCTGGGTACAAATATCATCATCAGCCTCATACCCAAATCCATAGATGCGGCCCTTCTTGTTCTTGCCACCTATAACATCTAACCATATTTAAATTCTTCCTGATTAGATTGTATGCTTGGAGAGCCTCTTTCAGAACTAAGTTCTGCCTTTCTTCTCATGAACTCATCCTATAAAACAAAAAGAAGACAGGAGTATATAAGTGCATGTTATGGAAGGCAAGATTCTTCTCAACTTGATACACTACTACTGACGTTATTGGACATTGATATATAGTTAATATATAGGTACCACTTTTGCATTTCCTCTTTTTCTATATGCAACCACTACCCCAATATCGGTGCCTTTGCAACACAATATCGGAGAGTCAATACACAAAGCAAAACACTTCTTCTTCTTTTTTTTTCAAACCTGGTTAAAGAAGTCAAGTTTTGGCAATATATATAAATATAAACCTATATGGCCTATCCCGCATGGTAGAATATTGCCTAATGATCAATAGTGGATCGGGAAAATATATATATATATATATATATATTCCAACTGAGATCGACGTGTTCACCTTATACTAGGGATAATATTTTTTTAAAAAAAATTTTAAGAAATGACCTACTCAGTGACTATACATAGAATCATAAATACTTTTCTCAAGAAAAAGCAACTCGTCAAAGAGGTGCAAGGATATATATAATGAGTTACCTCACATTCCATGCAAAATATATGCCTATATTCAACTTTTATTAATATACGAAACCGTATTAAATAGAAAATTAGCTTGTAGTGTCACAGTCTTGACAAGGGGACTTTTAAAAGGCAAGTAATACTATATGGATTTATAAATGGATCTAATATGAAAGAAACTACTTTTTGGTTTTACGTGAAAAAATGATCCAATAATATGTCAAATATTAAAAACATATACTCACATGAGCTAATTCCGCTCGCTGGTCTGCAAATTTTCCAGTTTTGTCATTTAAATGTGTCCTCTTGAACAATTCAAACATAGAAGGTCTCTTCCTAACTCCAAAGCCTGCAATTATTTACCAAGATGTATTATATATGCATTAAACAAATAACAATTTAATTTGAAGATAAGTTCTTACCAGTCTCCTCTTATGCTTAGTATTAGGAATACTTCCACCTTTGTGTTGAGTGCCTCCTATAGTTGAGGCTCAATAGCCTTGGCAATCTCACACTTAGCCTTGTAATCTTCTGATGCCCATATTCTCTCTAGCTCGGTCATCACTTGACGTGGAATCCACTTAGCCCCAACTTGTTTTTGATACAAGTCTTGCCTAACAGTGTGCATTGTATTTCTTAAAATTTCTGCACACTTTGCATTCCAAATTTTCTTAATAGCATGATCATATTGTGGTAACCATTTATATTTTCACTGCATAAATGAGAAACAAAAGAAAAATATAAATTAAACATGTTGAGCGAAAAAATTTGAAGACATAAAACAAATACAAGCATAGATATGATTTACCGCCCATTCATCAAACCACATTTTCTTATATTCAGGTGGTGTCGCTTTCCAGCTGAAACATGGATGGTCAAATTTCTCTTGAATAACAGGAAGAATATTTCGTACAGTAGCAACAGCAGGATTAAACCTAATAACAATTTTATACAAAATATCATTATAAATGTTGTTAGAATGGCATTGATATAATAAATGAAGATGTGAAATAATATAAACTTAATGGTGACGTATGTTTTCTTCTCAGGATATATCCATGTTCGACCATCTGAAGAATCATAACCTGATGGTGAAAAGGTAGGAGGGGCTGGAGAAGTGGGGGGATACGAATTTTCAGTTCCAGGAGATGGGATATGAGGAGATGATGCTCGAGATGATAATGAAAGTCTATTATATGACTGAGTCATAACTGAAGATAATCCGTGGGATGACAAGGGTCTGCTACATTCTTCATTTATAACTGGAGATCTAGTAGATGCTTCACCAATAGGTAGAGAAGATGTTTGAATAGGGAATTTGTTGAGTTGGTCAGATAATTGTGGAGAAGATGAAGAGCTCAAGTGTGTTCTATCACGCTTTGAACCACGACCTGCCATCTACATATTCAAGCACTTTGTAATAGTAAATAATTTGAAGTATAATTAATGTTATTCTGCCTAAAATACCTATTGTGTTTAAAAAGGTGTATGCTGAAACAATGATAACAACAAGGATGGATTTGTTGGCCAAAAAAGAAAAACAACAACAGGGATGGATTTAAATGTGAGAAGATAAGGAAGCGTATATGTGTGTGTATCATTTAGAGTCAATTTAAAAAGGTAGAAATTAACTTAAAATTATTAGGAAATCATTTGTGTGAGAACGCATTTAAGGGGAAAAGTTGAATTAATGTTCAACTCGAAGACACGCTGTTAGTGGGAAGAAAGATGCTCTAAGATAAGAAGAATATTACACATTCAGCAGAATAGAATTAGATTCAGCAAAATAGAATGTTCAATTCAAAGATGCTCTGACTTTAATCCTACAAAGTCATGGGGTTGGGGCATAGAATCAGATTGGCATTATGATAACAGAAAGCCTTCTCAAGACTAAGCAACACTCAACACGACTTATGTGACAAGAAAAGAATTGCTGGTCTAAAATTGCACACAACAACATTCAGCGAACAGAGCCAATGTATTCACCAAAATAGGACCACAAATCGTATAACTTACATTCAGCAAAAGGTTGTGACAAGAAGAGAATAGCTGGCCTTGAAGCAAGAAAAGATCCCGTAGCTACTGTAGAGAAAACTCCTACAACCAACAAGAAAATTTGTCCTCAACTCTCATCCACCCAGTATAGCAAAAGAAAATAAGATTTCAAATTATCAGAGATATGAAATTATTACAGATTGAATGAAGAAGCAAGATTTGGGACCAAAAATCATATATATAACTTACTGAACACTGAAGCACGAATAGCAACCTGAGCTTAAAAAGCATTCATTCCCCTGGAGCCTGAACTCCGTGACTTCGTACCTCAATCCTAGCCGCAATCGATCTATGCCTCAAACTCTCTTAACTGGCCCAGGGGTTAATTAATCTCCACATCAAGGGGAAGAGCAGAGATCTTTGTTGAAGACAACACAGCAATCATGAAGTACTGGAGGAGAGAAGTCAAGCTTGATGGTGATAATGAGGGATGCCGTCACCGTCGAAGCTTGATGGAGGAAGAAGTCACGGCTTTTGGTGTGGATGAAGGGAATGTGAATGTTGGCCGGTGACGATGATGAAAAATCTGGATGATTAATGGCGTGCTGGTGGCTAGGATTCCACAGGAAGAAGTCGTCGTTACCTTCGCCCTTAGCAGTCGCGCCGAAGAAGAAGAAGTGATTATGGTACCCTAGCAAGCAACCGAGCTCATTCAAAACGCTGCACTTTTGGTTTTCACTCATTTTCTTTTTTTTTTTTAACTTTTTCCAGCTTCTTAAATTCCACCAAAAAAATTAGCTACGTATCATCTTTCAGGTAGACAAAGGGTGAAATCCAAATAATATGAAAATCAAATTGATTGATGATACTCATTAAATTTTTATGGTTTCGTTTTTTTTCTCCCTAATCATTTTTCAGAATTTTTTTTTTCTGGATATGTCACTTAAAGTAAATAATAATAAAAATAGAAGCTATTAAAATTAAGAGAATGGAAAATTCAGATGTAAAAATAAATCTGAATACTATTGTATATCTAAGCATTTAATATTTTAAGAAACTGAAATTAATAACAATTTAAGAAAAAATATTTATAAACTTTTCAACTGTATATATTCAAATAAATTAAAAATGTTTTTTTACATTTAAATATATTTATAAAAAAACATACATCGCACTAATTTATTAAAAAAAAATAAAGAAAGAAGAAAGTCCAATTAAAAGCCCCACGAAGGCAAAAATAAAAGTTAACTATTGCTAGCAGTATTCATCTACACGAATAATTTTGTTTAATTGTTTGTTTACTTCTATAAAATATCTTATTAATAATAATATAATTTTATTTGATTGGCATAATTCTTTTTCAATATTGATGACAAAAACTATAAAGAATTTTAGTATAAATTAAAAAGATTATAGAAAATATACTAAAGGGGGTATGATAAGAGGAAGTGTAGGAATCTAATTGGGGATAATTTAGTATTTTTAAATTTATATTTTGATATTTGGTCCCTGTAAACAATCATCATTATTAAGATCCTTCCCAATGAATATTATTTTTCAGATCTTTCTTTCTAATTTTTTTAAATAAAACTATAAGGTAAAATATGATTTTATTAGTGTTACAAAAGAAGAGTTAATCATTGGAAGAAAGAGAACAAAATAGTTAACATTTTTTGCAAAAATTAAGTCTCAAATTAAATGGGTTAACGGAGGGAAGGTGAAAATCTTTTGAGGGAGACTAAATTTAGCCTTCTAATAAATGAATTATGGTTTCTTCAAACAAAAAATGGACAAAATTACATTTTATAAATTCCAAGTTTAAATTTAAGTCTTACTATTTTTCTCATATAAGAACAATAATATTATATTTAGAATAATATAATAATATTTCGCTAACCTTTTCTCAATCTATATCTAGCCAACTTGATATTATGTGGACATATTTTTTGGGTATAATTTTATTAATATTATTTTGTATTAAAAATGTGCTTTGGCTATCAGATATGGTGGACTAACTTTTAAAAAATAAAAGCAAGAAAAAAAGAATAAGCTATTTTCATATTTACTATTTTTATTTACATAACATTCTAATTTTTATTTACTAGTTCGTTAATATATGTTTTTTATGTTATAGTAGAACCTTCTAATTATATTATTTGTAAACAGTGTTAATATTAATTTTCTAAATTATGATCTATCAAATACTAGTTTATTTTTTTTTGGTATCCTTTCAAATGATTTGATATTTTTTAATTTAAAAATGTCCATCTATTTTTAAAAATAGATAATATATTTATATATAATATAATATTGACAATATCTAATTACATGAAGTTATGGAGTAAAAAAGAAGAATAATGTTGTCATGAATAAATTACAAAAGATGATGCTTAGGATTCATACATCTTTCACATTTTAACAAGGATTGCTATAAATCACTATCATGTACAATCAAATCATCAAGCATTTTGTTTGATTAACAAGACTTATAATTTTTTAATCAAATTGTTGAGTCTAAATTCTCAAACTATATGTTAAATATTTGGTAGGAGAAATTTTTTTTTTCAGTTTTATGAAACTAAATACTAATAAGTTAGCAATATGTTAATATTTGCTTTGCACCTATTATATTCTTCATATGATATTATCTCAAGATTAGTAAATTAAAATTCAATTTTGTCTCTAAAATTTATTCTTCTATATTATAATCAATAATATTCAGTTAATTTGAAATAGTCACAATCAACCAATAACTCAAAAGTAATTTTCACTTTTTCATACTTAAGGGAATCAAATGCATAGATTGAATTATTATGATTCACCACACTTCTAGGATTTCACTATGTTCTTTTACAAAATTTTTATTTGTTTTTTTCTTACATAATGTAGTCTTTCACCTCACAAAAAATAAAATCACTGCATTTTATTTTAAGAATAAAGATATGAAATTTTGGGGAAAAAAAATTCACTTTTCCGACGGAATTAGCCACAGACAATATTCCGTCAGTAATTTCAGTCAAAAATCCGTCCAAACTTTTGTGGGTAAATTTAGCGACGGAACTTACCGACGGAATTTTCCGTGGCAAATTCCGTCGGAAAACTGTTTTACCGACGAAAAATTCCGTCGGTAATTTCTAACGA